ACGAAAGTGCTGTAAATACCGAGCAAAACGGATGTACTCTTAAGATGGTTTTAAGCAATGTAGTTGGTAGGGGGGGGGGCGCCTACTACTACTACTACTACTACTACTACTACTACTACACTACCGCTACCATACCACTACCACTACCACTACCACTACCACTACCACTACCACTACCACTACCACTACCACTACCACTACCACTACCACTACCACACCACTGCCAGTACCAGTACCACTACCACGACCACTACCACTACTTCTACTACTGCTACTACTACTACTACTACTACTACTACTACTACTACTATAGTAGTAACTACTACTACTACTACTACTACTACTACTACTACTACTGAGTATTTTCGTTAGACATCACAAAATATCGCAAACACTGGGCGATGGAGACCCCGCCGACAACTTGGCCAAGATACAACACCGCAGTCACCACTGGGGCTAGGACCAAGAGTGCAGCAGCATAAGCAACGTGTTGAACTTCCTCCGGCCCTGTATGATTGGTTTCACCTCGTCAGCCGAAAGCAGCTACAGACAGAATCAGACATTTCGCATCCTATAGCGAGTGGTACAGCATCGTAGTAGTGGTTGCGGAGGTGCAAAGTGTGGTGCACACTATCTTCAGCTACTCCTGTAACCAGCAGGCCGCTTCCAGCTCCACTTTCGGGATGGTATGTTGCAAGTTGGTGGGACATGTATGATGAACAGCGTGCATCATCCAGCTGGCAATTCCAGCAAGATCGATGGATCGCACTTGAAGTGAGAGGATGATGTGCTGGGCAAGCTGCTTGCAATCGTGACGACAGCATCACCTGCCGACAGGAAGCAGGCGGCTGCTCCATTCACTTCAGCGCAACATGGGAGGCCCCGGCCAAGCGTCACACCGCTGTCTGCTACCTCATGCCATTGAAACGTCCAATCCAAGACGTATAAGTCCCAGCACGACCGAGACCCATGCCAGTACGGCTCGTGCCCGGGCCACTGCATCCAGCAAGGAAAACTGACTCTGTTGCGGCGCACCTCTCAGCCGGCTATCAGCTGAGGGCAGCTCTCTAGCTCGGTCTCTTCACATGCAAAGGAAGCTTTCGGCCTTCGAAGGCATCTCTCAAATCGCTAAGACGCCATGGCCTGCCGGAACTCATCGGGCTGGACTTTGGATTCGGATCTGAGAGGCGCACCGGACGGCCCCCTCTAGGAAGAGCTGGTACCACCAGACGCCCTGCGCAGATCTCTACAGCCCTCTCAGTCAGAAGTGGCCAAGCTATCCATAAAGGCCTGAATGAGGGCTTCGGTTGAATCCGGAGGGAGAGCCGACAGCCTAGCAGGGCAGCAGAGAAACTCACACCACAAAGTAGACGGCGCTTGCTTCTAAGCCAAGCGGCATCGCGGCGATCGTCTGGTTGACGGCCTCTCAGGATAAAACTGCGAGGTCTGGGAGTCCAGGGTTCAGAACTAGGCACCCTAAACCCTAAACCCTAAACCCTAAACCCTAAACCGTCACCTTCAGGGCCTGAAGCCTTCACCAATTCAAGGCTTGGGACGAGTGAGTCGATATCAGGTTCGCATGCTGCCAGAGCCAAGGCAGCAAGGCTGCCAGGGCTTTCTGCGTTTGAAAAACGGGGCATCTGACTACTTGCAAAACTGGATGAGGCTAGAAGCTCTCCATGGTCAGTGGATTGATTCGAAGAGTCTTTGCAAGCTGGGATCGCCTGTTGGGCTGGGCTGGCTCCTGGCTAGACTGTGGTTCGAGATTTGCCTTGTTGACCTCAGGACACTACATTGCCAGTTCTGCAGATTGCTGTTTCGGCGTGCTTCGCTACAGCCAACTGTTCCAGTCAAGGCGTACATCGTCCACATCTTGTAGACTGACAAGACACGTCGGGGAGTGCGGCTTTGGCTAACAGTCCCGGATAAAAAGCCGCTCGCCGCGGCTGAGAGTCAAGAAGTAAACAGGGTCTTGTCCGAGCAAGTGATCTTTTGTCTTAGACATGGAAGGTGCGAAGGATGGGCAATAGATGAAGGTGGCCGTTCACCGTAGCCAGATCCTCAGGGAGGTCCCCCCGAGTGTTGGGCACGGAAGAATCGGCACCAAAGTCAAGCAGGAGCTGCACCAAGTCGGGGTCACCGATGAAAGACGCGATACCCAGGGGTGATATGCCGGGGAGGAGGGCAAAGCATCGCGTGCGAAAACTGCTCCTGGAGGTCCCCACGACTGCTTCGTAGACCCTGGCCGCCTGGCAACCCCACTTGAACGCTCCGGTCGGAGCGGCGATGGCATTCACATTGGCGCCGTGCTCGAGCAGCAACTCTACGCTCTTCAGAGCAGAGAGGTTGCCCCGGGAGAAGAAGATCGCGCTGTGCAAGGGGCTCAACCCGTGGCCAAACACTGGCGGGTTCGGATTGCACCTTGCCCGCAGCAACGCAGCGATCGTCTCGGAGTTGGCCATGCCACAGGCACCACCGAGTGGAGTGTTTCCCACCGGATGAGTAATCTTATTCAGGTCTGCCCTTGCTCGAATGACCACCTCGAGCTGCTCAGGCGAGCGCACCATGGGCAGAACATTGGAGCCATTTGCGATCGTGGCGTGGACGTCCGCGTGGAGCTCGATCAGGGTGGCCAGGACAGGGGCCGGCTGGTGGGACTTTGCTGCACAGATAAGTACGGTCTGGCCATCAAAATATCCAGCCTTTCCCAAGCCATGAGACCTCCAGTTCACGTCGGCTCTGCTGCCGACCAGCTCGCGAATCATCCCGCTATCACTACTGAACACTGCGCACATTAGACCGTTCATGCTGCTCTGATCCGTTGCAGCCTCCTCAAGGCTAGCGAAGTGGAAGGTATCCAAAAAGTCTTGCAAGCCCCGCTCGGAACGATTTTGCCCCAACATCCTGGACCGGCGCGCCAGATAGAAGCGGAAGGCCTTAAGAGGACCAAAGTCCCTAAGCTCACAAATCTTGTTTTCGAGTGCTTTCTGTCCAAGCTGGACAACCACTTCGCGGTCTTCTTCGACGGTGAAGTCGCCGCTATCAATTGTGTTCCTTGGCTTGCAAGAGCTTGCGAAGGCGTTTTGTGTTCCGCTGGTCGCAAGATGAAGAGGTACAGTAGGGCAGCAGAGGCTCTCTAACCAGTCCAGGGGAAACATGAACTTGGCTTCTGTCACAGAGGTTACGAGAATGACGCTGGTATCCGGCTTGCTGGAGAGCATGTGAAGCCAAAGCTCTGCCCTGCACCAAGCATACAAGAAGAATGGGCAGAGCGGCAGGGCAAACACGGTTGCATGTGCTACTATGTGCTACCGCTGGCGTGGCTTTCCCATCTTTATGACCCTCTATTCCCCTGAACTCTTCACTATGACAATTCAAAGCTCACTGGGCCTGCCTGCACCAACCGCGAGCAAGCCAAGTCGTGTATGAACACCACTCCTGCCTGTCTCGGTCCCGCACGAAGGGCACCAGAGCAATGAAGAGGCTCGCTGCCTCGACGTAGGCAGGAATACTATTCACAGCACGTGCCGCATCCGACTTCGTGACCTCTTCGTTCACCCCCTCTGCACGAGCTGTAATTTGCGGGATCGCGAACCAATCGAAAAAAAGGAATCCAGTCTCCACCTGCTGCCGGGTCTGTGGAGTGAAACGATTTTCCTGACCGTGCGTGGTGGAAACCACGTCAAGATCAATCATTAACGAGCCGTCGATGAGTCTTTTCAACGTTGTCCTCAATACTGAAACTTGCTCGCCGGTCGGATCTGGATGTTTCCGTCCAAGCCACTGGTGGGAAACAAAAATCCTGGGCTGTATTTTTGGGCCCCCGGAAAGTATTTATGAAAAGGTACGTCTCTAAGACCAGAAGGGAAATTGTAAGGTCCCACAGTGCCACCTCGAATCGTGTACATGCTCGCATTCCACTCGTGGAGGAGACCGCGCTGTTTTAGTCGGTCGTGCGACTCAGGGACCCCTTCCATGGCAAGGAAGTCCGACACCTTGGCATGGCTTTCAGGTCGCTTAGACGAGGGGCTTCATGGGGCCTCAAAGGGCACGCTCTCTCTCACGCTCTGCAATGCACTGAGCGGCAGGCCTTGACCAAGTACATGGGGAAAAAGATCTCGTGCACCTTTGTGGCTTTGGGAGCACCCGGTCCAGGCTCCTCAACGCACGGCCAGTTTCCCATGGCGAGTCGGCAACGGGCAATCTTGGATACACTTATGCTCGCTTGTCTTGCTCCTTTCGGACGACCCTCATTCCCACTGGTCATGTCCAGCTTCGTTCCTATGGTTGCTGCCAAGTATTTCGACAAGCACACGACAGCTTGAAAGCCACATACAAGAAGCATGTCTGCATCGGTTCGCCTACACAAATGGGCTATACTGGGAACACTATGCAGAACACAAGCGCTCCTCCCCCCCCCAAAGCTGATTATCCTGCAGAACATGTTTTGTCCGTTCAAGATGCGGAAGCCGTGAATCATTCCATTCCTGCCCTAGCTCGTGCTGGTATGAACGCACCGAAATGCCGTAGCAGCACGAAGTCGACCAGACAAAACAGCCCTCGGGTGAATGCCTCTTCTGCAGGGACTCCGCGCAATGCCAGCACAGCCTCTGTCGTGCGCGACTCTTACTTGCTGCTATTCCTAGCAAAAGACACCCTTCGACAGTACATAATTCTGTGTAGCCGTGCATGGCAGCATCGTAAGTAGTCGTCGTCATACTGGTCATAATAGCAAAGTGGCGCCGCGTGGTAGCGGTGGCGGTAGCGGCGATGGTTGTTGCTGTGGCATGCTGTGGCGGTGGCGGTGGAGGTGGCGGTGGCG